TCTATACTAGTTTTGTTTTCAGAGTTTAAGCTCCGAATTGTAATTTATCTTTAGTCTCATACCATTTCATCTATCATCTGCAAATAATGACCATTAGGTCATGCCACTGTTACATGCTATATAAGCTGGCTTTTCTGAGGCCAAAAGTAACCTGGATGACTGCTTTGCTACTTATCTTTCTAAATCTGCTTCTCAGGTAAAATGAAAACCCCCAAGAAAACTGTTGGGATATATATGAAATAATTTGTGAGCTAGTATTAGTATAATTCCTTTCTCCCAGACAGCAGTCATCCTTGCTCTTTATGCTCAAGATATTTTGCATATTGCAGTCATTTTGAATATTCATTGAATAGAAATTCCTGGCTCTCAAAGGACAGAAAGCACATTCCTTGGCTTATAATCCTCTCCCGGATCCTATATTTAGCAGAACGGGCACTCAAATGCTAGATACTCTTAGTTTGGGTTGAAAATAAAGCCCACTAGTATTGCATAGCTTTAAATAACAGTAAGACCATTCTTACACTACCATGAAGATACCTATTCAGGTATTAACCTACCTATTCAGGATAACATTGGGATGGTAACATTTCTTCAATGAAATGTTAAATATTAATAATGATCTCGATATATATCCATGTACAAAATACATAGGCATAAAACACCATCTCTTCAAATGAGTCATTGTGGACAATGAACAAATTTAGAAACTCTTAGTATAAAGATGAGTAGAGAGGTTTCAATAACTAGTTTACCGTAATAAACAGGGTGCTATTACTACTCTTGATTCATTCTGGCTTGACTGGCTGTTTGACTTACTATGGAAATTGGATAGAAAACAGTCTTTCAGTTCTTTCTTGGATATTTGGACTTTGCTTAACTTTCTGTCCCTGAGCTTGCCTGTTATTGGGTGAATTGGAGCCTAAATGCATACACTAATCTTTTCCTCAGTTATAAAAGGTAATCACTCAAATTTACCCATGTACTTCTTAACACTGTTATCACTAGGTGGTAGCACATTACCATTTTTAACCTAAAAAAGAAAATCCATTTTTACTTGCAAAATTGACTTTTAAAGCACCCATTATTGAAAAGGAGGTGGCAAAATGTGCATCTCCACATACAGCTGGGGTAAGGTAAATCAGAGGGCAATTTCATGTGTCAAAAATTTCAGTGTTCTTCCAGCCTGTGAATATGCAGGAGTTTCCACAAAACTTTTCCCTCTGTAAGCCAGCAGCCACGGCAGCAGCAGCTCTTTGCCTACCTTTTTATGCAGGTGCCTTTTTCCTCCTTTCCTCATGAATCTATTTTAAAATTTTGTTTTAAAATTAAAGCAAAACAAACCCTCAAGTGTTCAAACTCACTGAATCAAGCACTCCAGTAAACTTTTTGGAAAATGAGACCTGCATCTAGATTTACTTGCAATAATTCACTGCAGCAGAATTCCAGATTTTGTATTTGTAACAAGTTCCCACTCTTAAGTGTTGCTGATATTTGTAGCTGCAGACAGTTTTCAGTAGTTAGCTTTTAGACTACTTAAAAGAAGCTGTTGAGTTTTAGCACAGCACTATGAAACTATCCACAGACACTTCAGCATGAGTTTGAGCCCCAGCCGGGGAGGTGATGGCAGACTTGTCTCACTCTCTGTTCCCCTCAGCAGTTTATTTCACTCAATCTGCCTATTTTGCTTCCCATTCTGTCTCTGGTGAATCCTCTCACCGCCCCTGCTCCTCTGGCCTATACCAGTTATGTATGCTTAAGTAAATAAATCTTTAAAAAAAAAACAAAGCAACTTGTATAGACATGTGGAAATTAACTCTGTAAGATATTCCTATGCTTTTCAGGTATTGAAAAAGCTTTTAAAGGCTCTCTCTGGAGGTGCAACGGGTTAGGACTCAGCACTGCAAGCTAGCAGCAGTCTCCTCAGTGCGAGGTCCATCCCCTGCCCCGGCGGTGACCCACATGGCTCAGCAGACTCTTCTACTGACCCGCCCGCTGCTCCCCTCAGCAGTGTACTTCATCCACCTGCCTGTTCTGCTCCCCACCCTATCTCTGGTGAAGCCTCTCACTGCCCCTGCACCTCTGGCTTGTATCCCAGTTCTGTATGAATAAATCAAAAAAAAAAAAAAAAAATGCCCTCTCTGGTGGTGCAGTGGGTTAAAGCACAGCACTATGAAGCTAATGCCACTTCAGCACGAGTTCCGTCCCCACCCCAGAGATGATCCAGATGGAGCAGCAGACCTCTTCTGACCTGCCCGTTGCTCCCGAGGCAGTGTACTTCGTTGGTCTGCCTTTTCTGCTCCCCACTGTTTCTGGTGAATCCTCTCATTGCCCCTGTGCCTCTGGCCTGTATTCTAGTTCTGCATGCATGTACCCCCCTCCTCAAAAAGCTTTTAAGTTGGCATCTTTGGCAACAGATATAGCAGGAAAAGAGCAAGCTGAAAACAAACCAAAACAAAAAAATCTCCTAGTGAGATTAGTAAGCACTAAGAAAAATGATGATGGGACCCCCTCACTCAAGGAGGAAGGTCATGGATGCTTCTATTCTGCAGATAGATGGACAGCCTTTAAACTGAAAACCAAGTACTAATGCCTTCCCCAGCCCGTAGCTACAACCACTCTACTCTCACCTACACTAACCAAGTCCCCACAAACCTGTATATGAACATCAACTCATTCTCCCAAACTTAAGCTGTGACCCACTATGTAAAATCTTCCATCAGTATTTTAAGTAACCAGATGTCTGAAAATCTCTATCACCTACAGCCCACAAAATTCCATTTTCTCTATTCTTATCTGCCCTCCTGAGAAAGCTACTTCTATGTTAATCAGTATTACAAGTTAAGTAATTGTTTTGTAACCCCTTAACCTTTTAAATTCCAAAACTATACAGCCATTACTTGCTATTTCTTGGATCTCAAAGGCACTTAATTCAGTTTCCAACTTTTCCCCAGTATTTACCCCAGTCAATGGCTCTATTTTCAGACAGCTGATTGTTACCCTTTTCATATTTAACTTTCCACTGGATACTATCAATTTTGTGTCAGAACAAGTTTTCTCTGCTTCTATCCCTGCCACTCTCTTGTGGCAGAAGGCTGTGTAAGTTTCATCATTGGTTTGCCTCCTCTATTCTTTCCCTGATTTAACCTGCAGTCAACTAGGCTTTTGAAATTTTAGTCTAATTGTGACACTTCAATGGTTACATATATTTAAGTCAATCTTCAGTGTTGCAGCCTTGGTCCTAGCCTGTTTACTGAGCCTCTTACCAGGGCTTTTCCCTCTTTACCCCTTACTTCAGAAAAACTGCCATTCTTGCAGTTCCCAGTATGCTCCCTTCTGCCAAAAGGCCTTTCGTTCTTAGCCCAGAAGGAACTATCCCTTCTCTCTTTAATCAGTTGCCTTACTCTTCCTTCAGGTCTCAGTGCAGTATTCTGGAAATAAACTTTTATAGCACTTTCCTATGTGTGAATTAAGATTTCCAAGGGTAAAAATATGTCCCTTTGGGCTTCCCTGGTGGCACAGGTTAAAGTCTCAGTGCTATTAAGCTACCAGCTATCAGCAGCCACTGAGGTATGAGTTCATCCCTGACCAGGTGTCTTGCCCCTAGTTCCTCTGAGCACTGTGTTACAATCTGCCTCTTATGCTCCCTGCTCTGTCTCTGGTGAATCCTCTCACACTTTACACCTGTTCTTGTATGAATAAACAAGTCCTTCTTCAGACTGAGTTTGGTCAGGGAAATGACCCACATATGGCACAGCAGACCTATCCTGTCTCACCCCCTTCGCATGTTTCCGTAGACCCTCCTGTTCTGTTCCTCACTCTCTTGGGTGACTACTCTCACTGCCCCACTTTTGCACCTCTGGTCTACATCCCAGTTCTCCTATGCAATGTGTGTATGTATAAAGGCAAAAAAAAAAAACCCTCAAAACTCCTTGCGTGATACATCAGACCTTCAATGGTTCCTACAGCATTTGGTTAAAAGATGTACCTAATAAGTTTTCCTTTCAGTCACATATTCTCTGCAAGAGCATTCAACTCAATGCAAGTGAGGATCAATGAGCACAATCATCTTTAAAATGTAAATCTGGGCTCTCCCTGGTGGCACAAGGGGTTAAAGCACTGCATTATGAAGCTCTAGAAGCCAATGCAGCACAAGTTCCATCCCTGGCCGGAGCTGACCCACCTGGTGTGGCAGACCTCTTCTGAACAGCCTGCCGCTACCCTCAGCAGTGTACTTTGTCAATCTGCCTGTTCTGCTCCCCACCATCTCTGGTGAATCCTCTCACCCACCACCCCTCTGGCCTGATCCCAATTCTGTAAGCACAAATAAATATATCTTTTAAAAATTAAAATGTAAATCTGAAACAGAGGAGACCTCAAAAAAAAAAAAAAAAAAAAAAAAAAAAACAAGAAACAAAACTGAACCACATTTTTTTTTTTTAATGGCATGGAAAGGAACCCCAGTAATGCTAACAGTTTGCTATCTTCCATATGGGTATTTCAACTACTTAAAATCTTTAACTTCAACATACTCTATAGCATACACTTTGAGATATTTTGGGCCTAATGTAATATTTGGCATACAAATCCTTACCAAAACGACAACTTGTCACTGTTTTAAAAGTCTCCTATACCTTGTTTTCAAGCTAGCTGTTACTGTACTTTTGCTGCAACCAAAACATTGTTTTACTGAGTCTAGAAGGTAAATAAAATAATCCCATAAAACTAGACAAATGTTTTCTAAACCTTAGGTTTAAGAAAAATAAAACAGATTAGAAATCCTATGTTTCTAAAACCTAATTCTAGCTGCATGTAATAGACTGTAAAAACCATCAAACCACCACTATAGAAAAGAACCTTCTAGGAGCCTGGCTTAAAGATACAAAGAGACAACAATCCAATTCATTATACTGTATATTGTGTCAAATGGATTATGAATTATTGGAAACATTATGATGATTTAACAAATTATAAATCAAATAAAAAGGACAAACTGCAAAGTATTATCAAAACTGTTTTTTATTTTCATACAAGATAAATACCATGCTTGTCACTAGTGCAGTTTTAAGGCCAACAATGGCCATATAGCAAACTGCTGAACAGTCTCCTAAATGCTAAAGAAAGAAAGACAGAAAATAAACATTAAACACAAAATTGCAGTTACAAACATTTTTTAAAAATGGAATGAGTTTTTTAATAGAAGCTAATATGGAAGTCTAGTTCTCATGGACACCAAAAAGATGTCTATTTGATCAAATCACCTTACCTTTTGCACAGAAATCTTACTGTGAAGTCGCCATAGAGTCAATAGGCTAAAAATTTAGTAAGACTTTCTTTGGCCTTCTGGTATTAGACAAATTATTTACAAACCGTGATTCAGTAACTCATGGATACTGATATGATACAATTTTTTGTTGTTGTTGTTAAGGGCTTTCCATTAAAAATTGTAAAACAACTTTGTAAGGCTGTACAAGGCTGTAAACTACTTTGCTAATAATATACCATGGGATGAAGAGGCAGAAGGAGTAACAAGACCTTTTTTTAAGGCTAAAGTCATCAACATTATAGATGCATTCCTTAGAATACATTATGATTTACCCCCAAAGGATCCTTCCCCATTAAATAACCACCTGAGTACTACAATTTTCAAAGTAAAAAAATAAACAGGAATTCACCATTGTATCTGAAAATAATTTAACTTACAAAATGCCGAGAAGTGTTACGCAGTAACAGTGTGACAAAAAAAACCCACATCTTCAAAATGAAATGTTTTCACTAAATGCAAGGTCTGTCCAATTAAGAAATTAATGTAAAACATTTACACTTGTGGTGGAGTTTTAGGGCACTCCCACACGAAAAACGGCAGTATTTACTATCTGCAGATACCATTTCAAGGTTTGTGTAACTTCAATTAAACTCTAACTAATATTTTAAAGGCCCCCATCACAACATTAATTAATATAGCAGTAAGTTTTTAAAACATTGAAATCTGCCTATACCTAGCCAAGTGTTTATATGTCCCATACAAAAACCATAGTAGCTGCATACTCAGAGCGAATGCCAACCACCTGAAATTTTAAAGAAACATTGGTTAAACAAACCTAAATCAACCTGAACAGGATACAACTGCCTAAGTATTTGGAAGTCTTTAAAAAAATTTATACTGCTTCTTTCTAGTGACAAGAAAGAAGAGTACAAGAACTTCCTCCCAGAAGCCTAGACATTTGAACAAGTTTTCATTTTAACTTAAATGAACTTTAATCCTGAACCTTTTGATTTCTCTATATCAAAACTCTCACATTACAAATACAAGGAATGCTATAGCATGTAAGGCCACATCTTAATAATTTTGTGTTTAATTTTTGGTTGACTATTTAAAAATTAGTCTAAGGCTTCTAAGAGTCAAGTTGTTGGAAAAAAAAAATGCCAGTGTTTAAACTGAAGGTTAATGTTGGGGGGAAAAAAACAACAAAAACAATACACACAACACTGTAAGAAAAAAAAAAAGAATGTTTTGCTACAAAATCCCACTTAATGTATTTTAGCACAAAAATGTCTAATATGTACAATGTATAAGCCGGCATTTAAGTACATACAACTGCGGAACATTTACAGATGGCTATGGGATGCAATGAACTAAATGAGTAAAATTTAAAAAGCAGTTATCTGTAAAACAGCAAAATTTCAATACTGTATTCTCAGTAAAAAAAAAATCAGAACACAAATTTCCTCTTAAAATAAGCAGCTGAAGCTTAAAACACAAAATTGGAACCACAGATACAGAAGATGCAATGACCATTTAGGTATGAAAACCAAAATGTTGAGAGCACTCCAACAGACAGTCTTGCAGTAGCATCTCATTGTATAAAACATTATGTATTTGAGTTATTGGCACATTAAGTACATAAGGAAAGAGAAATCATTTACCCTTCCAACAATTTCTCCCTTTCACCATAAATGTTATACAACAGTCATTAAAACCTCCATGTTAATTAATATTTTAAGGCCTGACCTTAAACTAGTAAAAACACAAAACAATATTCTCCACAGGAGAATTAAATGAATACTTTAACCTACAATTCATTAAGTCATTTGTGAACTCATTAAGGATGTGGTATATAAAGGGGCCACTAACTGGGCTAAACTATAGTCAATATCCACTGCAACTTACTCCCAATTTGCATATAGATACCAATATAAACTTTAAATTTACATCGAAATATCCTCTCCACAATGTATGTTCATTAACTAAGAGCAACATGTTCAATTCAAATGTTGCTTCAGAAGCAATACCTTTCATTTGTATCACTCATTCAAAATTATACTAGCTGAAAGGAAATGTGACCACATAGCACTTTTAAATGCTATGGTTTAAAATTAAATGTTTGTATTCATATGCACTGTAACTATTACTATGAAGAAATGAAAATGTCTCTGCTCCCCCTCCCATTTTTTTGGCGTCTATGTAAATACCTCTTTGGATTGTTTTTACACATTTCAAAAAGCAAAAGTTTAAAAATAATATCAGTCTATAAACAGAAGGGGCATGAAGGACAAAAACAAGGCTTGCAACTTTCACTCTGTACTGCTATACATTCAATGTGCTATCAGGTAGAGAAAGTTTTCCAAAAATTCACAAAACCGAAAAGTCACTTCCTTCTGACAACACAATAATGGACTAGCAGCAAACAATTCTAGTAGATTCACACTGTTTGCAACAAAAGTCACATAATGAGATCAGCCAACTAGGGAAAAGAGTGATATAGAATGAACAATTAAAGGGTTCCACTGATTAAAAAAAAAAAAAAGTAAATGAAAAATTGAATTAGTGTGAAATTTCCAGTTTCAAGGTCAAGCAGAGATTTTTGAGATTCCATTTTAAAAATTTTCAGAGAAAATTTTATTCTCATGGATGTTTACTTACCTTTTAGCTTATTATTAACTAATTTCCCTTGGAATAAATTTATGTCCATAGTTCTTCGCTTTAGAGCATTGTAATTAAAATAAAGTAAAAGCTAAGAAATGACAAAACTAACATCTATACATAAAACAAGAAACTGCATTTGATTACAACTCTCAAATATTAAACAAGGCAATTGCATTTTCAACAAGATAAAACAACTGAAAAATCATTTTTAAAAGCAAACAGTTCTGATAAATACTAATGATCCCATGCACAAATACTCTAAATCACAAAATGTTTTTGAAGTATGACTGGCAATACTATGAATAATTTGAAAACAGCTAGGTTATCTAAGTAGTGTGTCAGTGGAGATGAAAGTGAAGAACTGCTATGCAATTTCTGGAGGGCTCTCAGAGCTGCACAGTACATAATACAGGGTACCTAAATATTTAAATCATCATCCTAAAATTTGACTAAACTTTCAAGATAGTATCAATGTGTTATTAGAATATCTTGCAAAGGCAATTATATCTTAAAAAGACCAAAATTAAGAATTTTTAACTTAAATTCTGAATGATTCAAATGAACTTCCTATAAAAATGTCTATCAGTTGACACTCTGCCTATGCTAATTTTGCAATTAAGAACACATGCTAGCCACGTGCTTTAATCTGCACCTATATGCACAGGCAGGTTTGAAAGAAATCTTTGATTAACTCAATAAGGCTAATATGAATCAATAGACTTTGACTATACATAGAATTTCTTAAGCTGTCGAGATAGAGTACGTCTAAAATCTCCTATTATACAAACAGGAGAATACACCCTGATGTTAATAAAACATCACACCCCTTCAGAATCTACAGTAACCGAAAAATAAAACTAAGCTCTCTTTACTCATACTTGTCTGCTGCACACTTATATTTACACTGCCCATGGCTTCAAAATTAAACCACAGGCACTACCAATATTAAACAGCAAGTAACTGCTGCATCAAATCAGTATTATCAAAATATTTCTTCAATGCTAGCAGTTTATAATTAAGCTTTTTAGTACATCTGGTGATGTAACTAAGCTGTTACTATAGCAAACAACATGGGTTTTTACTAAATTATTATAAAACCACAAATTTTTTGACCCCTAACACATTGACTGGATCGCTATGTCTGTGAAATTTCAGTTTTTACAAGTTTATATATCATTCAGCAAAGTCACAAGCTAACTAGGTAAAAACAGCTAGAAAAGCAGAATATAGAAATATTAAATATCCATGTAATCACCTATTCTATTATCAAAATCAAGGGCAAGAGACACTTAATTAGTATGTTTAATTCACTGAACGCAAGATTAGATTGATGCATATCCAAAAACGCTATTGCAATGCTTTTTTTAAAGGACAGTATAAATGTCATTGTAACATTATCTTTAGATATTGCTGAACACAAGACTTTCCCTGAGGTGTAAACATCAAATAACTTGAACAGCTTTACACATCAGCCCCATTAAACAGTTTATTACAACACTACATCTATTGTAATCAAAGTGGTGCTGTTTACAGACATTATCATATGAACATTTTTAACAAGAACAAACTACTATAAAAACAAGCATTTACTTGACGGTTTTTTCCAATTGCTTGCACATTATAATGGCCAAATGTATATAACCAGTAATAAAGTTGCAAAAGCTATAACTTTTTAAATCACACAGGTTTCCTTCAAATAAAACAGTTAAGCAACATAAAAAATAAAAGTAGAGCTACTGGTTACCATTTATGCAGATTTGCTTTATTCAGATCTATTCCTGTTCATTTTATCCATGAATCCTTACAGGTTCAGTTCAATCACAAGAAGCAAACTGCTGGACAAGCGTCATTTTTCCCCCATGAAGACTGTTTTGTCTTGGAAGGTGTTCCTCTTCCTTCAGCTGTAATGTGTTAAAATTTGTGATGTAGATTTTGCTATTCCCCATAATACACAGAAAAAAAACGCTGGCTTATCTATACATACACAAGTCGTGCATCTACTTCACTGTTACGTATTCTAACACAAAATAGGAATTAAATGAAACAGTAGCTGCCTTTGTGGTGGAGAAGTGCTCCCAATTTATGTGATAATTTAAACTGAGATGCTGATTTCATTCTTATGTATTATTGCCATAGAAATTTAATGATGGAAAGAAATGAAAATACAGCAGCTACTGTTTCTGTGATGATGGAAACATTTATAAGTCATTTTCTAAAGTATGCACACTACAAAAATAAATTTAAAATGTTTGGATGAATTTAATGTAGATTTTTTTCATTTACCCACATGTGAAGTCTATGTAACTCATTAACAATTATATGCGTACTGAATATAAAATGCATTAAATTATTTTACAAATTAGTTGTATTTATTTGACAGCATACAGGTACTTCTGCAACTGTTATAAATCAAATGGTCCTCCATAGTACAAAATTTATAAATAAAATTTATATAGTTCAGAATGCACATTTAAATATGACATCCACATACAAATCTTTAGACATAGTACAAATTTAAAACATTTACTTGACTTTCACTGTTCCACCTATATTGAAATACCTAATGTGCATATACACTAATGAATACCAAAAGGGAATCTTCAACGATAAATTTCATTGAAAACTCACACACACACAAAAAAAAAATTTGATAAACTAGTTTCAAAAATACATAATAATGCAACCTTCAGTTAAGAGATTCACAAAAGAAACATTCAATTAGGTTGGATATAAGTGACCTTTGAAACAACAGATAGTTAAAAACTAAGTCCCCAGAAAGCATTTCAAGAAGATGATATGAGAGGCAAAGGGCACAATGTTTTAGTAGAATTTTGCCATAAAATAATTTTTAAAAAATGTGTTTCACTCCACAAATAAATAATTAGTATTCTTTCACAACTCTAAGTTTTGTATTTTGGGTCCTTTTCTCAAGTAGGCTATAAAAGCACCTTAAAAAGCATTAGTCCACATATACATTCATATTGCCTGGCAGTAAAAAACAAAAATTTACAACTGTAAAGAAAAAGCAAGATGTTATAAGCCTGACTTTCTCTTTTAAAAAGCTTCTATTTTTCCATGTTTTTCAAAGAGAGTTTAAAGCATTTCTAATGTTAACTTTGATTGTACCTTTATATTATACTGATGAAGCTTTTGGTGGAATTGTATTATAGGAAAAAAATCTAGAGGGAGCTTTCATGTTTTAGTACTTGTAATGAACTCTTAAAACCCAGTGTTAAACAAGGTTTTTGTTCTAATCTGGAAAAAATGGTTACTGAGAAATTCATAAATCTTACTGCTAAAGAACACTATTGTCCCTAATTTTTCTTGTTGTCCTAGAGATGGGGTTGGAGGGGAAGAGAGAGATTGCGTCATTAGGGGAAAATTACTTAAAGTCACAGTGAAACAAAATACCCAACCTTTCCAAATCACATATGGCATACACTGTAACTTTATATCATTCATCACCTCAACGGAGAATTTTACTTCTTTTCATATAATTACAACATACAACATTATCCAGGATGAATTCACTCAAATTTTGCTTGATTATACTTCATAGAGAGTTCTTCACTATTAGAAAGTTTCTCTAATTTTCACCATACAGACAAAAAAACCTGGGGGACAGTCGGACAGATTTTATTTCTATTTCTAAACACTTTACATTCATTCATCCATTTGGAAATACAAATTTCACAATCTCAAAAAAGGAAGCAAATTTGAAGGCAATACAACCCATTTCCAATAATCCAATTCCATATTATAGTCTCAAGTTGCTAAGTAGACATCTATATAAACAAGGATTATCAAAAGAAGCTTCAAAGTGACAAATACATTCAATGCTCATGTTTTCAGAATACCATTTGGCCAAGTCTATGATATCAAAGTCACACAATTACTTGCTTTACTATCAGTTATAAAAGGAAGATCTATGTAAACAGTGGTTAAAATTAAGACAAGTAGAATCTACAGCTCTTTAATGAAATATATAAACACTAAGTAAAATTTCGGTACAGAAGCCTCTGCATTCTGATATATAAGATGAATACTCTAAGTTTTTTGTCAGAAACTTTAAGCAAATTTTTTAGCATTCCTAAATTCATGGCAAATTCATTTATTAAGTAAAAATTTGAACGTATACGATACGGTTTTTATAGGTTTTCACATCCATGTATTGAATCAAGATTATTCTAATATAATTTCAGGAATGTCCTTTAATTAACTTTGTGAAATAAAATCAACTTGTATTTTTATTTGAAAATTTCTTAATGAGGCGAATGAAGATGGGGCAGGCAAAAGAAACAGCAGTTATCTAAATACTTCACAAATTTAAAATTAAAGTTCCTTCTTGTGCTGATTATAACCCATTGCACAAAAGTCTATACTAAAGTCATTTACCAAAAAAAACCTCCCTTACTACCAAAGTATCTTGTATGTTCATCTTTTTATACCTGGAGATAGTACTTACCTCATTTTAACTAAAGGACATTGCACTATAAATCTATGTCCATAATTGCGGCTTTAGGCAATTCACTAAAATAGTTTAACTTTACCACAAAAAACAAAAATCAAAAACAAAAAGCAACTCAGCAACTACCCCCCACACCATTTCACTAAATGGACATCAAGTAAGCTGCTTATGTGACTGAGAACTCAATACATGAGGTAAAACATGCTACCACAGAAGGCAAATTAGTAAATTTGGATGGTATGTCCCTTACTTCTGTTTATTAGGTTTTCCTTAAACAATGCTAACTAAATATTTATCAAAAACAATTTATTCAAAACAATCTAATTTACAAACTAAAACGATAGTAAATTTCACACTGAGATGAAGGTGAGAGAGCAAGGTGACTCACATTGGTATTGAATATTTTTAGAACAAAGAACACTAATCAGTTCTAAATACACCATATTCTTAAACCACAGTGAGCAAAAGTGCTATAACCATTCAAGGGATCATTTCCTACTTGCTTGTCACTTCAATTAAGATAGCTGAGTAACTAGACAGGCTTTGCAAATAATAACAAAAAGCAAAGAGAAGTAGAAGAGCTAGCATATCCAGACAAAGCAATAGTTAGGACACATGGAAAACAAAGAAAAACAGGGCTGGATAGTTTAGAAAAATCCCAGATGACTTAAAATCTGCAGAAATAAGTTAAATCTCATTATCACCATTATCATTCATTAAATGATGTAGAAAATTTAATTTTCACATAACTCTCAAGTTAACACTGACTCTTCAGGAAAGGAAACAACGTATTTAGAACTTTTGATTTCTTTTCCATATCAATGTCAAGTTATAAACTAAGTAAGGAACAGAAAAGCACCCTAAATCTTGTACAGTAACTATAAACACCTAAAGCCACATCTATGGTAAAAGTCATCTATCAAAGAAAAATGTAGAGTTGAAAAATGCAGATCTAACTTGTTTAAAAATTTTATCAAAGAAATGGATGATCTGAGAATATGTAACAACCTTTACAGACAGAGGGAAAGCATGAGTATAAAAGTATTAAAAAAGGTAACTGGGTCTCATCACTGTTCAATCTATAAGGAAAAATTTATGAGAAATTTGCTGAGCAGGGTTATTCTGGGCAAGTAAAAAAAAAACACAACCTAAATGAAAGTAACAACTATGAAAATATAATTATTTCTGAAAGAACTGTACAATCTTAACTATGTTTTGCTCAGAGTGGTCTGAGAAGAAAGGCAAAAATTACAGAATATGAAGCACAATGTATTTACATACTGAAATTTACAATACTGACATTCCCGTTAAAAAAACTATTTGAACTCAGATATTGAATGCTTTTAGGAAACTATAATACATTTTTAAAATGAGAATGCAATCAACATTACCAACAGTTCAAACACACACACAAAAAAATTAAGATGGGACAGACATAATAGCTTGCCAACATCATTAAGTTTTCAGTTAAGAACCTGCCCTTTTCTCCATTCATCGTCACTTTAATAATAGATTACATATTTGGTTTACTGGTATACAGACTTACTTACTACTGACATTCACTTTAGCTTCCAGGTTACTTATTCCATTCATTTCATTTAGGATGTACATGAAAGCTCAAAAGGACTCATATTTTAAAACTTCTAAAAAGTCAACAAACCTTGATAGTGACTGAATGTGCAGGTGTTTTCACTTGAATATAGTTAATTCCCGCCCCACCCCTTTATTCACAGCTACATCCACAATAAATACTGTTTGGTATATAGCAGAGGTACAATATTTCAGGATAACAGAATTTTTGTGCACTAGAGAGGCTTATGTAAAATTTTGCTTTGATGAAGGCACATAACAATATTACAACTTAATTCTAATTAATGTACAAACAAAACATGGGAATTTTGGTATGGTACAGATCAGTGATTAAGAAAAAATGTCAACAGTAGTTTGCAAGTTAGGAGTTCAGTTAATGTCTGAATGTAATGAAACTCAAGCCATGATAACGTTAGGTGTAACCATTACTGGAATGTAATGTTAATAGTTAATCCAAGTATTTAAAATTAACAATAGATTTTTAAAAGAAGTTTATTTGGTTGACTATTCTGGTTTTTAAACTGAAACCAATTAAGAAAACTCTTTAATCAACTTGAGTGTATACTACTTAAGCAGCCCTGATGGGCACATGTAATCTTAAAGATAACTGAGAATGTATCCAAGTTTTACTATAATGCTTTCTTTGGTAAACAGAAACTTGTTGAAAACTGACAAGTCTAAATAAAAATTTGCTGGATCTGTATACCTTACTATAAATGAAATGGCTGATAACTAAGCACTTCACATACTAAGTTGGCCACAATTCACCTTAAGTAACTGGCAGACAGTGAGAATTTTTTTATATAAGGGACTGGATCTATCCAACAAAGATGGGGAAAGAACTACATCTTTAAAATTTAGGGTTAGCAAGATACAACATTTCAATTCTTGTTCACATCAAAAACAGTATCAATTTTAACAGTTTAGTTTTAGAAGTAAAAAGTTTGTGTCATGTGAAAGATGTTTTGCAAATTATTCACATTAAGTTCTATAATACAAAACATGGAGAACTATTTTAAAATTAATATTCAAGATGCATATTCAAAATGCAAGTATTAAAACTGGTCTTTTCACTTTAAAAAGCCCTTAAACTAAATATAAATAGCTTATATACCATAAAAATAAGACTTACATGTTCTCTAAATAGTATTCAAACAGGCTCTTGTTTTTAAAATATACCTATAAAAAGAAACTGCAATTCTGCTGCAGAATTACATACACTCGACAGTCTTATTTTGCCCATAACAATGTAAGTGCTAACAGTTTCCATTGCTTTCCATGTCTATGGAATATAATCATGTAAAGGGTAGTTACCTATAAGGGGTTTGTTTGTTTGTATTAGCTTACTTGAATCTGGATATGCCACCAACATATGGGGGGAAAAAAAAACAAAACAACCTGTTTACAGAATTATCTTTTGTGTCACATGCCCAAGCCTTATATTGTCTTCCCCCCTCCTTTCACATGAATATGTTGTCCACAAATATTAAAAAAAAAATATGAAAATGAAGCATGAACAGACAGCTCCCTCCTGCTTAATGAAAAATGTACACAGAAATAGTTTTGAAATACAGAAAAAAAAAAGACAATGATTATGGTTTGTGAATGAAACAAAATTATTTCAAGGTAATTCTAATCTCAGATGTATGATTTGGTATAATTTAAGGTATTCTTAAACCCTGAACCCATTTTAAATTAGTAACTTTCATTCTTTTTTTCAAATTAAAGGATACTGTTTCTTTCAAAAACAAAAACCAGATGCCAAGAAAAATGCTTTTCTAAAAAGTATCTTCTTAAGTAAAAAAGCTTTTTCAATGCTGAAAATCATCTTCCTATATTATAAACTCTAATAGTGTTAGATTTTCTTTAAAAGTTCTAGGGATAATAAATGAAGTTAGTTAAGGAGAGAAATTCAATTCCTTCTTATGTCTGAAACATGCCATGTGTGTACACACACACAGAGATATATATATGTGTGTATGTGCATAAACGCCTGTATTTTCAATCATATGCAAATGCATGTGATTCAAAAAATTCCAATTTTTAGATTTTAGAAGTAGACAATGAGTCCTCTTGATTATTTTCTTGTTTTATGACCAATAAAAATCTGAAACCTAAAAGTTATAACTCAGCAAAAATGGTAAGAAGTCAAAATTTTTACCTGTCATTACTTACCAATCACATGTTCCAGATGTTTCTAGAAGAATAAATTCTGAACAAGTAGTTGGATCATTTAAAATGCAGATAAACACTGTATAAACAATAGCCTCAAGAGTTGTAATTACTGTTAATACATATGCTAAGTACAACAGGCACAAGGAATACCCACCTGCTAACGATGACGATATTCACGTTCTCGGTCACGTTCTCGGTCACGGTCCCGATCACGGTCTCGATGTCTCTCTCGTTCTCTGCTTCTCTCTCTATAATAATCATCATGACGATCTCTACTACGGGATTTATGACGCCGACTCTTTTCTCGTGATCTACTATGGTCCCTCTCTCTTGATCGTTCACGTCTTCTAAAAGAAATTACTGGATTAATGATCTCCATAACTGGTAGCTTTGAAAGGTATTACTTTTGATGTTTCAAAATGTAAGGCAAAAATTCTTTATAAACACAGGTTAGATTTACTAAGTACCAACGATATACCAATTTTCTCATAAAAGCATGGCCTAGATAGATGGACTCCCCCTTTTTTGTTGTCATTTATTCACACAGAACTGGGGTACAAGCCAGAGATACAGGGGAGGTGAGAGGATTCACCAGACAGAGTGAGGAGTAGAACAGGCAGATCGATGAAGTACACTGCCAAGAGGAGCAGCCGGCGTGTAGGGAGAGTTCTGCAGCGCCAAGTGGATCACCTTTGGGGCATGGGATCGAACTCACTGAAGAGGCTGGCGCAAGCTTGCAGTGCTGCGTCCTAACCCATTGTGCCACCAAGGAGATCCCAGATACTCCATTTTTAAAAACATTCACCCCAAATTAAGAATTGGTTACACCCAGGCAATACAATGAACTATCTATTACAGTTATTATAACAAGAAACCTACAACAGACATGAAGTTTTACTAAATAAAACCCAGAATGGTAAAAGAAAATTTCAATGTACTTTAAGAAGAGACTATAGAATACATAGAAGGCCTTATAAAGAATATACAGGGCCCTCCCTGGTGGCACAGCGGGTTAAAGCACTGCACTAAGAAGCTTAAGCCACTTCCGCATGAGTTCGATCCCCGCCTGCTCCGGAGGAGATCCACATGGCGAGGCAGACCTCTCCTGACCCGCCCGCTGCTCCCCTCAGCAGTGTACTTCGTTGATCTGCCTGTTCTGCTCCCCGCTCTGTCTCTGGTGAATCCTCTCACTCTCTGTATCTCTGGCCTGTACCCCAGCTCTGTATAAATAAATAAATCTTAAAAAAAAAATATACGGATGTGCTTTTTAGATATGTAATTTGTAAAATAGATCAATGATAGTATTTCAATATACAAAATCCATCACCCATTAATACAGATTACCTAAACCTATATATAAATAGCAGTTTTACATTTGTAAATATATCAAAACATGATTTAGTAAGTACGATTCCACTAAAAAGCTTTCTAACAATGCATGCATGTTTGTTGGGGTAAGGTGGGAGGAGGAAGGGTGAGAAGGAGAAACCTAGCGACTATGACCAGAAAAGACGGGCAAACTGTTCATACTGTTCTTTAATAAAGAGAAATGTTTCATGAGCTGCCTTAAAAGCAAACAAAAATAGGTAATTTACCTAACAATACTGCCCAAAATACATTTAGAAATTTGATTCCAAATTCAGAAATGTAAAGTAAGAAATTAACTAAAATCTATTAGATTAACTCTCCATATTTTCCCACCAGACAGCCTTGTCAATCCAAATTCTCTGTTAAACATGGAAGTTTTTAGCTGAATTAAAAAGACTACATATGGCATGGTCTTATGATACTGAAAACTTTGTTCAGTGATAAGAAGCCTTACACTGGGTCAAAAAGTAACAAAGGTGGGGCCCCTCCCTGGTGGCACAGTGGGTTAAAGCATAGCACTTAGAAGCTAAAACCACTTCAGCATGAGTTTGACCCCTGTCCACCCCAGAGGTGATCCACATGGCGTGGGGCAGGCCTCTCCTATCTGGCCTGCTGCTCCCCTCTGCAGTGTACTTCGTCAGTTGGCCTGTTCTCCTCATTCTGTCTCTGGTGAATTGTCTCATCATCCCTGTACCTCTGGCCTGTACACCAGTTCTGTATGTATAAATAAATAAATCTTAAAAAAAAAAAAAAAAAAGTAACAAAGTTGGGGACCACAAACAGCCTAGCCTCTTCAACAGGATGAAGACACTACCATCAGAAAAAAATATATTAAACACACACCTCAGACTATCACATGAAGATTAAAGATAAACCTTGTAAATATATGTAAAATTTCAAGATTAGTTAACAGTAACACTAAAAAAATAACTACCTAATATATAAAAATTGAGTTTAATTAACTCCCTAGCTCAAGAACTTTTTAGCATTCTTATCAAGCATTGTTTTGTGATTAGAAATATTGTAATGAACAATATTTATATATTGCTCATTAATATATATTCATATATATAATATATATGAATATATATAATAAAGCTCCATTTCTCAACATGTGTTTTAGTGAAATGATATGTGCATTAATAACAATGCATAGATTATGATAAGTGCTATTAAAGAAACAAACAGGTTATGACGGAATACCCTGGGAGAAGAGCTTTCCTAGGAAGTTATGTTGACACATGAAGGGGTAGGAAGCCAGCAATACAGTTAGGGGGAAGGATGCCTAAAAGGATTATCAAGTACAAAATGAAAAATGAATGGATTGATGTTTCAAGAGGAAAACCAATAAGGTTACAAGATAGTAAGGGAAGAGGTAGCTAAAGCTGAAGAATATCATACAATGTTTCAATGTTTACAGTCTTAAGATTCACTGGAAGCCTTTCAAGGATTTTAAGCAAGCAAACACTGGACACTTGATCTAGCATTAAAAACAAAAACACTCTACTTACTGAGTAAACAGTATTAAGTAAAATTAAAGTACTACTTTATTAGAGTCCCAAACATAGCATTTTCTACTTATAAAGTAGCGGTTTTAAGTAAACATGAGACAGGAAAGTTTTACCTTGATCCAGAACCATAAGACTTGGATTCAATTCCATGAAGGCAATCTTGCAAAGAACTAATTAGAACTTTGCAACGATCATCAGCAGATACTTTGGATTGTTTAATTAAAGAAATTGCAGTCACCAATGTCTCAATAGCACTCCCATAATCACCTGTGAGAAGAGAGGGGGTCGAAGTCAAATTTTGTTTTCCAACACCACTAAACCACTTGGGATAAAATTATGTGATAATCAATTTACTGAGAATTTAGATAACTGAAAAAAAAAATCATTATTTTAAGTGTTTCACTTTTGGAATAGGCTTTTAACATGCATTAAACTAACACAATTTATAGTTGTGAGAGTATTTTAGAAATATAAGAGGAGTGAGATGCCTTAAGGCCCCCAAACCATTAAAATTCAGGTTAAATCTGCATGAAGAATCTAAAATTAGGGTTCTTTCCATTACAAAGTGACAAACAGCCTCCTATCCTTTTAAATAAGGTACAGGTAATGAATTGAAAATAGTCAAATTAAAAAAAAATACTCCAAGAAAAGACCCATCTTTAAGGCTTTACAAGTTTTAGGTCGCACCTAAAACAAAGAAAAAATATTAACACAGAAAGAAATATACAAACCAGCACTGGCATCAGACACGGCTCTAGAAATAGCACTGCTTGAGATTGCTCTATTTCTGTTCATGATTTCTTCAAACTCGGCTTCACTCAATGGCGTTCTTGCAGTATCCATTTCCCTGTAAAAATCAAAGTAAACTTTAAATAGCATTCTACATTTTTTTAAAGTCTCAATGTATAATTCTTACTGTTTGCTTGACAACCTTAGAGCTTAGCTTGTGCTTATTTTTCTGGATTAATGTGATTTTTCTTAAAGAGCAAATCCAAGCAAAATTCTCACATACCACTATGTTTCAGTTGAAAAATGTACATTATTTGTTTTAAAAGAAATGAATTTCAAGATTTTCTAAAGCTGCTCGACAACTTTAAAAATTATAATTATATGTACAGTATAGGAACATGCAAACTTTCTGCTACCTTGGACTAGTTACTAGTTGGGATGGTGAGTTGAAGCTAACTTGTAGCAATTTATTACAATGAAATGCAGAAATATTTAATCTAACCTTTCATATATTTATAAGGTATTACTCCCAAAACTTATCCTGATCAAATTATGAATTCTTTAAGATTAATGTATGATTTCAACTATGTGCTATGACTTGTGCCTAACCTAGTGCCCTAAAAACATTAAATAAGGCAATCAGTGTTCTTCAGTTTTTAATAATCTACCTACTAGCTATAAATTAGTTTATAACAAAAAAAATTCCCAAAAACCTGTTACAGAAACTTTACATTATGAAAGTATTACATTTTAAATTGTCAAAACAAGTCATGTAATCCACTCTATACACTAAAGATGAACACCTGATATGCAGAGTTGGTTCACTGTAATTAAAGTGAAGAGAGAAATTACTCCATCTTAGCAGTTTTGACTTTTTCAAAGAAAACAAAAGTATTTTTGGCAATCACCAACATACTACCTTTATAGATAGGTAGTTGTGGGCTTTGTTTACAACATCAATTTCCTGCCATGGGATCGTATAACTGTATGGAATTAGGCAGGTGCGCAAACTCATTCTTGTAGGATATTATCAGATAAACTGCAATACAATAAACAGCTCTCCAAAATACTTTAGGAAAGGGCTTAGAGATCAGTTACTTCAACAGCAGTTTCTGAGGTTTTTCTCCAAGAATTGCCATTGACTTCCATACAATCTATGTTTGCAATTCTTCTCCTAGCCAAATATATTATTTAATATTCCAGTTAATTAGTAATTTTCTACTCAGATTCCTGATCTGTATACGATGATTATTAGTACCTATCTAATAAGCTGATCTAATTTCTATTAACTTTTTGTTTTAAAGACTTATTTATTTATACACACAGAACTGGGGTATAGGCCAGAGATGCAGGGAGGTAAAAGGATTCACTCAAGGCAAGAGTAAAGAGCAGAATAGGCAGATTCACTAAAATATACTGCTGAGGGGAGCAACTGGCAGGTCAGGAGAGGTCTGTCACACCATGTGGGTCACTTCCCTAGCCAGGATCGAACTTGTGCTGCAGTGGCAGTGGTAGCTTCACAGTGTTGTGCTTTAACCCACTGTGCACTAGGGAGGGCCCTCTATTAACTTTTTGAAAATATATTTATTTATGCATACAAGAGCTAGGTAGTGTAGGCCAGCGGTGCGGGGGAAAGGGGGAATGTGTGAGAGGTTTCACTAGACAGAGTGGGGAGCAGTGGGCAAAACAAGAGAGATCTGCTGTGCCATGTGGATCACGTCCCTGGCTGCCAACAGCTTCACAGTGCTGCTGAGACTTAACCCTTACACAACAGCAGGGAGGCCCTATTAACCACTTTTAACTTAAAAAACAATGTAAATGAGTCCTCAGGATTAAGTAACTTGCCCTAAATCATAGCTACGTAGGTGGCATAGCTGGATCATTCCCAACCCTGTATGCTTTTCACCATAAAATACTGCCTCTTTTAATGAAAGAATATGGAAAATAAAATGTCAAAGGTCATAATTAAAAAAAGACTCCTCAGTTAGGATATACTTTGCTTCAAAGTATAGATAGGTATTTCATAGGTATTTATTTCCATATATATATATATATATTAACTTACCTTCCAGGAGGCCCATAGTCACCCCTATCATATGGCGGAGGTCGGCCATATGGATCTGTTGGTGGTGGGCCCCGGCTATCTGATGTAGGCATGCCACTGTTAGTTGGCGGAGGAAAGAAAGCTGGGTTCACATGTGGAGCTGGCGGTGGGGCACCTGGAGGTGGTCCAGGAAGATGCGGAGGAGGTGCAAGTGTAAGGGGTGGCCCAAGAGGGCCAGGTGGGCGAGGTGGAAAGGGGCCAGGAGGTGGAGGTGGTCCCTGTTGTGGCGGTGGTGGACCAGGAGGGGGGCCATAGCCTGGAACTGGCGGTGGAGGACCAGGAGGAAGCGGACCCAATGGAGGCTGCCCAAAAGGTTGTCCAGGAAAGAGAACCGGTGGTGGAGGGCGATCTCCTCGATTAGGAGGCCCTGCTAAAGGAGGAGGCAGAACCTGACCAGGAGGTGGAGGGCCTGGTGGGCCTGGTGGGCCAGGTGGACCTAAGGGTGGACGTGGTGGAGTCTGTCCAGCTATAGAGTAAGAGGATGGGAGTGACGGGGATGTAGAGAGAGGAAGAAAGAGAAAGAGAGGCAGAGAAAAGAGAGAGGAAAAAAACACTTCAGTAAGTATTTTAACCTTTATGCCAAGATGACACTTTTAAAGCATAACTCATAGACCACGATTCTTTGTCTTTAAATGAAACCCATATGGTAAATGCTAAACTAACAGGTACAAAAGTGAAATATTCTTACAAACTTAACTAGCTCAATTTATGCGTAAGAAAAAGTATTTAAATAAAAACTTTCATAAAGATTATAACACTTAAGAGATAGCTTCCATCTTTCAGTGTACACACACTTCTTACAGTGAAATCACCCACCTTATATTCTACTCTGATGCCAAGCTAGAAAGTGAAACAAGGAAAAATGGTCTTGAAAGGATTTTTTAAGAGGTAAGAAAATAAGACGGATGTAAATATTCTATAAATAAGTCAAGCAAGTTTGGAGAAAAATAAAGACCTTTTAGGCCAAAAATGGGTATTTCCTCTATGCTGTGCCCCATATGCCATGGAATCCTAGTTTCCAGGAACAAAGGCCGAGTTCCTTTAACAAGATGCTTGATCAAATTTCCTGGATTCCAAAAATAGCATAACAAGGAGAGTAAGTCACATTAATAATGCATTACTTGAAAAAGAGAGAAAAGGAAAAGAGGTATTAGGTAGACACATTTTATCCGTGTTAATTTAAGAAAAACTTTACCTGGAAAAGGTGGGGGTGGCCCTCCTGGTCCTGCTGGCCCAGGAAATCTGTCCCCACCGGGAACAGCCCCTGGAAAACGGCCCCGTCCTCTACCACCTTGTGGAAATGCTGCACGTGAACTGCCTCCTGGAGGACCAGCTTTACCTTCCCCAGACATTTGTCCTGATTGTGTAGCTGCAAATATTCAAATACTCATAAATAGCATTTATTAAAATACTTGTCTGCAATGTAACCACCGTCATTAGAAACACTTCTATTTTAAAGCTCACTTATAATATATACTAAATTGCAGATACCTAGGGCCTTTCCAAACTACATGAGAAGTATTGGTTAGGAAATATATCCACATCCATTTTAGTGTTTTTGAAATCTCAAAATATCCAGGCTTAAGTGTATCTCTTTTTTATTATTACTATAGTTTATTCTTAACATCATTTTGTGCCTTTTCCATCTCAGTAAATGTATTTGTATTTCTAATGAGTGAATGAGTTGTTTTCATAATACCAGTACTCTGCAGCAGCCAAGGCCAAAATTATCCAACAGAAATTTTAATTTCAGTAAGCATAGAGCACTTATATCTTACAACATATACTTCAATAAATCTTATGTGTTAAAATAGTAAAACAACCACTTGACTTTCTGTTAATTATACGATCATTATTTAAGTGATTAATATTCATAATGTTGTAAAGGCAAATCTGTATTCACTTTACCAAGTAGTGAAAGGTTTTGGGCCAAGCAGAGAGTCAACAAATAGTTTCTTGTTTTCCGAGAAGTTTCTCCCCCACCACAACACATCCACATAACTTTCCTTCAATCTAAGGATTAGAATGTAGTTTCTTCCTTTTTCTAGGATGGGAATGATAGGACAAGAATGGCAGGTCTACAGAACTTGCACACTGTTGTGTATTATTGGATCTATTACTTCTAGAGAAAAATGGAAGTTTTCCAATAGAAGACCATGGACACAGTCACTAGTTAAATCAAATCAAATTCAAAGTATGGACTTCCTAAAATAGATTTTCCATTGATTTAAATATTAATATTATTGTTCCTCCACTGTAACACATAACAAATGCTAGCTACATTGGTAAAAAAAAAAAAAAAAAAAAAAAAAAAGCCCATCATTTAATAATAAAAGCCTCTAAGCAATTGCTTACTTTTCCTGGACTGCATTTCAAATTGACTCAGGAACTGTTTATTGCATGGAGTTACAACAGGATTCTGACCATGAAGTTCTCTTTTAGGCAACAGATCCATTAACTTTTTTGAGGACGCTTCAGAGCCAACACCAACAAGGGCAAACCTAAAAGATTAACGAGGTAAAGGTAGAAATCGCAGAAGATTAATGATATTACTGTTTTAAGAAAAGACCCGATCTAGGATTCTGAAACTATTTCTTAAAAGAAATGCAAGGTCACACTTCATGTTCTTTAATAACCACTTCCATAAAGAAATGAAGAACACTGTCATCACCCCAAAAGCAAGCTGTCCTTAACTGCTGTCACTCCATTTCCTCCCATACCACAATCCTATGAAACCACTAAATCATTTTTGTCTCTTGGATTTATCTATTTTAGAACTTTCATATAAATGGAGTTATACAGTATTTGGTTCTTTCCAATAGGCTTCTTCAATTTTTCAAGGTTTGTGCACAATGTTGCAAGGAGCATTATTTTCCTTTCACTGCCAAGTAATATTCCAGTATATGGATACACTTCATTAAAAAATTCATTTATCTATAGGACATTTAAGTTTTTCCACTTTTTAGTTATTATTACTATGAAAAGCTGTTCATCATTACCCATTAGGAAAATATAAACCAAAACCACATTCATTCTACTTTATATCTTCTAAAATGTTAATAATCAAAAGACATGTAACAAGCGGTGCTAAAGATATGGAGAAATTATATACTGCTGTTGAGAATGAAAAATGATGCAGCCACTTCAACAGCTTTGTATTCATGCCAAAGGTTAAATATAATCACCACATAATCTAACAATTCCAGTTCCAGATCTTTCTTACTTAACTTATGGTGGTTATATCTTGATAAAATCACCCTAAGTAAATATTGTTAAACTGAAAACACATTTATTATATTTAATACCGGTTTACCTGAGTCTACCTTAAACATACCCTGAATACTTAGATTACACTACATTAGTGTAACACAAATCATTGAACACAAAGCCTAGTAATTATTTATTTATTTCATAATATGGTTTAGACAATCTCATATTATTTACTGAATAGTGTAGTGAGAGTGAAAAACAGAATGCCCTAATTCAAAACTCAAAGTACAATTTCTACCAAAGGTTTACTTTTACACCACTATGAAGTATAAAAATTAACTGCTAGCCATCCTAACTCAGAGATTGTCTGTATATCCCTAACAACTAAAAATATATTCATAAAAAACCAGTCCATACATATTCATAAGGGGAATTATAACAATCCAAATGTCCATCAAATGGTGGCATAGAAATATGTGGCATGCAGCTACACATGAAATATTTAGCCATAAAGAAAATGGTGCTGATATTATGACTACACAGGCGAACCTTGAAAACATGCTAAGTGAAAGAAGCCAGCCATATAGCATATAGTTCTGCTTATATGAAATATCAAGATATGCAAATCCACAGACTGGTAGAAAGTACAGGATTTATTATGGGGGGTTAAGAAATATTCTGAGGTCCTCCCTGGTGGTGCAATGGGTGAAAGCACGGCACTGCCAAGTGAGTCACAGCCACTTCAGTGTGAGTTTAATCCCCAGCCCCGGAGGTGACCCACAGGGCACAGACCTCTCCTGATCAACCTGCTGCTCCCCACTGTCTAAAAACCACTGAGTTGTATCCCTATGAGTAAATTTTATTTTTCAAGACAAAAATAAACTAAAAATCACAGATGCAGCAGGACTGTTAAGATCCCTTCTCGCTGATGTCCTTTAACTAGATAACCTACTCTAGTCAACAAATTCTGTTTGACTCAAGATTATCTTGAATCACAACATTTTGAAACAATGAATTTATTAATTTAGTATTTGTTGAGCTCTAATCCTATATATCAGGTGTAATTTTAGGAGTAGGGGGTCAAAGAGTAAACAATGTGTTTGAGAAATAGCAAGGAGACTAACGTGGCTGAAACAGCAGAAGAAAGGCGAACAGTGGTATGAAGTATGATTAGAGAGATGGTACGAAAACAAATTACATAACACCTTGTAGGTCTCAGCAGAGTATTTAAACAGACCTGTCTGTTCTGCTTTCCCACTCTTATCTCTGGTGAATCCTTACTCCCCCTTCCTCCATACTTCAGGATTACAACCCAGCTTTTGTATGCATGTATGCATGTATGCACGCACACATAAATAAATAATCTTTAAAAAATTTTATGGGGCCCTCCCTGGTGGCACAACTGGTTAAAGCACAGCACTATGAAGCTAGCTGCAGCACAAGTTCGAACCCCAGCCAGGGAGGTGACCCATACGGCACCGCAGACCTCTCCTGACCAGCCTCCTGCTCCCCTCAAGCAGTGTACTTTGTCACTCGGCCTGTTCTGCTTCCCACTCTGTTTGTGGTGAATCCTGTCTGTGATCCCCGCACCTCTGGCCTTTACCCCAGCTCTGTATGCATAACTAAATCTTTTCTTTTTTCTTTTTTTTTTAAGATTTATTTATTTATTCATACAGAACTGGGGTACAGTCCAGAGAAGCGGAGGGTGATAGGATTCACCAGAGATAGAATGGCAGCAGAACAGGCAGATTGACGAAGTACACTGCTGAGGGGAGCAGCGGGCAGGTCAGGAGAGGTCTGCCGTGCCATGTGGTCACCTCCGGGGCCAGCGGGAATCGAACTCATGCGGAAGTGGCTTTAGCTTTTTAGTGCAGTGCTTTAACCCGCTGCGCCACCAGGGAGGGCCACATAAATAAGTCTTAAAAAAAAAATCTGCACCTACAGATTAATGTAAAATGATGCTTATTGCTGATCTATTTATTAACAGGTAAGAACAGGAAATCAACCAAGTAACAAGAATGGTAAACTAAATTATAGGAGCATGTGCAATGAAAAGAATTAGACATGAAAGAGAATGTGTTCATTAAAATGTTTTACCTATCAAACATGTCATAAAATGTTTATTTTTAAAAGTTATTTGCTTATGCATATAAAAACTGGGGTGTGCGGAATGAGACAGTGTGGGGAACATAACAGGCAAACAGACCAAAATACACTGCTGAGGGGAGCAGCAGACAAGACGAGAGGTCTGCTGCGCCAGGGATTGAATTTGGGCTGCAGTAGCTGCGGCCAGCTTCATAGTGCTTGCTTTAACTTATTTCACAACTAGGAAGGGTCCTATAATCCTATTATTTTGCATTAAACATGACAGCTAGGAAAAACCTAAAAAAACAAATATTCACCAGTGGCTGGTGAGAATTATAGTTTTTTTTTTAAACATTAGGATTATCTGTATTTTATAATGATCCTAAAATAATCCCACTTCACTTTCTCACTTGAATGGCTTTAAAGCTAAAACAAAACAAAAAAGACAGAAATATCCACATTACTCACATTATCTGATTGCCCCTCTCCCCCGTTCCTTAGCCACTGAGGTAGTAATGTTTCTTCAGTCACCTCAAAAAACATTTTAACTATAGATTGAGAAAAACCCAAGAAAGTTAAAGAACAGACCTTATTATCTGCCCATACCTCCAGCTCAGCTTTAGAGAACTAGATGTAGCCAGTAGCTACTGACTTATTAATCTACATTACCAGAAAACGAGTAATAATTCTTACCCCTTTGACTGGCCATTTGCTCGATTTTCAAAAAATTTTATCTCCAAAATATCATTTACTCCCAAAGAATGAACTGCTTCAGTTAAATCTTCATCTGTTGTCCACTGCAAAACATATCCCCCTTAGTCATCAAAACATATCCAAGATTTTTAATATTTCAATTAAGTTTAAGGTAAACTTAGGATGAACAAGAGAAAATTAATTAATTCAGTGGAAAATAAGTGTAGTTACTTGTTAAGTAGTCAGCCTCTAGTTTTAAATAGCTTAAAAAAAACAAACAAGCAAACCCATAGACTTCATCCCTTGTCAAGTTTCAGAAAGTAAAAGACACAGAAACTCAGAAAATAGTTTTTCTTTTTTAAACTCTTAAAAAGTTTCTGGTGTCTTCCAGTTTTAAATTGCTATGATTAAAAATTTTTAATATAACCAATCTCATTGATCAGATCCTCTCCTTAAAGAAAATTACTTCAGAAAAATAACTTATATAGTAAGCTTGAATATTTACATAAAGAAAAAACCCCCAATGTATTAAGTACCTACCATTCATTTTATATCAAATATTTAACTTTTAAAACCATTTTGAGTTCAATTATTAGTATTTCCAGTTTATACATGATCAGAGAAGCTACAGAACTTGCTCAAAGTCTCAAAACTAATAGATGGAGGAGTTAAGATTCAAGTCTTAACTGCTTATCAACTACACTCTTCATAACTACAATGCTATTGCTTTTGATATTACAAAGGCTGCTCAGAGTAGGTGGTGGCAGATCAGACAATGTTCTTTAAAAATTAAAAATTTAAGAACAAAATGCTAATAAGAAATAATTGATTTTTAAACTTTCAAACACAGTAATAAATGTTTGAATAAAAAATATAAAAGTTCTATGATTTTAGTACTTAAGATTTAGTGCTAGTAAAATTTACAAGTTCCAACATCCAGATAATGAAAACATCCAACCAATAAGCTAACAGGCACTGATTTAAAATAGTGTTTATAGCAGTGTTACCATTAAGTCAGATTTCAAATTCAAGAACAGAAATTAAACTCAGCAAGTCTGTAATATGAATCAGATTATGCAATGAAAACTGTTTAAACCAGGAGTGTTTGGCGCCTCTCTCCTCATACATTTCTGAATTCTGGTTTTGAAACCTCACCTGAGCAGACTGCTATGTAAAATTGGGAGAGTGAAGTGTAATAGTAGAAAAGTTTAAAAAGGAATATTTAAAGACAGATTAATTAAAGTGTATTAAACTGGTAGCCAGTTATGGGCTCTACCTGACATGCACAGAAACTGATAGCATGACATCAGGTTCTGAGGGAATTTTATTACAAGTTGACTGACAAAGAGGTAGAAGCTAAATCTATCTCTAACTTGTACCAAACAAGTCAAATGACACAAATTCAAAGATAGAAGATCTGAAACTTATGCTATCTTACAGGTACTTATATTTCTTCCTCATAACGTAAAGCAAGCATATAGAAAAAAACAAATATAGTAACTTAATCAATTACCAATAATTTAATTCATGTTAAGTTTACTTACCCATGTTAGATTTCCAATATATAATGCGATTCTCTTTCCAGTATATGTGTAGACAACATTTGGTGCTGCTCCTTTACCCACATCATCACCAACAGTTGGTGGGAGAGTATCCATGTAATCTCGGTCTTCTGGGGCATCTCCATTATTTGCAGATGGAGAGATGACATCATCATACAAATCTATTTGATCATGCCCACCATATTCAGCTTCCTGAGATAAGAAATAATGCTCTAAATTACACAATCATATCACTAGTAAACAGATATGAACACAAATTTAACAATTGCTCTAAAAATCTGGTAGAAGATAGGAAAAGGCCCAAAGATAGCAAAACAAATCCTTTCTCATTTTATGCCACCGATCTATTTTTTAACAGTGCCTATATAAAATGAATTTCTGTATAATGAAACCCATTTCCCCTGATATAATGTTCCTCTAGAAAACAAAGACATGGAGCCAAAACAAAGTAATAACTAGGTAGCAAAATATCTATAAATAACAATACAGAAAGCAGAAAGATGAGCTTATATTTTTTGACACAAAAAATTACCATAAAAAAATACCACGAACAAAAATTAGTCATTACAAATCTTCAATATTTAGATGCAAAAAAACCCCACCGTTTTCCTATGGTATTAATAAGAATCTGTTTCCCTCCCATGTGAAAGCTTTCAGGTTTTAGGAAAAACCAAAGTTAGTTGAGCCACAGGGGAAGGAATGAAGACATATGGGCATATAAATGATTCAAAATGTCATAACAAATGAATAGGGGAAGAGAAATAAATTTCAGGAAAAACTGCCCAAATTAGTACCCAACAGTTTTATTATTACAGTTAATAGTTTTAATGCTTTCCTGAATGCTTAGCTACCTAGTCAATTAACAAGAGCTACTCAATTAGCAAGAGAAAAGTGAGATGAACAAAGATCTATGGCAGTAAAGCTGTCATTTCATGTGGCCAGCAGAGATCAACAAGGCTAGGGATTTACATGCCTAAATGATTAGCAAAGAGAAGGATATGTAAGCAGAAGAAAAATGAAAAAAAAAAAAAAAAAGGCTCAATTTATAAATAAACACAAGAAAAACAAAATACAGGTATCGATAGAACACGCAACATTTAAATTGCCTTTGATTACCATTACTGGGTCAGACTTGACTAGCAGATATCAGAGAAGCTTCAGTTTTATATTTCTCCTTCCCTTTCCATCACTAAGTACCTAACTCAGTGCAACTATTTTATTCTTATGAAGTAAAATACTTGAGATAACAGAGAAATAGTTATAATAACCACATGCCATTGTCTAGACATGCATATCCTCTTTTCCCATTAATACAGTTTATTAGGGGCGAATTGTTGTACAGTTGACATATGAAGGGGGAGCTAAAAACTTAGGACTACTACAGGGATAGACAATGACCCAGAGAAAGCACGTGTAATGACTATACAGAGCAACAAAATATTGCTATTATAGACCCCAAGAGAACATGGCTATTATTTTGTTATTTAAAAGGAAGCCAAAATAAGGCTTTTTTAGAAGAAAATGATGAGTGAGGGGAGGAGAGATACCAAAATACATAAACCTAGAAGGGGAAAAATCATTTATGCACACAGCAAGTGGGACATAAGATTTGTAAAGTCATTCTCAGGTAGTCTGCATAACTACTAAGTTACCCAATTTTCTAACTATATAATAAAACCTTTATTATGAGGTAGACTGTCTTTAAGACATTTAATAAGGAACCCAAAATTTCAAGCTGAGAGAACAAAGTCACAATTATCAATAAGCAGAAACTAAGATCACAAAGACCACAAGTCACCAAATAACGCCATAATATATATATTTTTTGTACAGCAATACCAAAAAGATCTTTCAGAAATGAGTTTTTGTTAAACAAAGTAACATGCTCAAATTGCAGTGAAAGTAAAGAGTCAGAAAAGAGGAGGGTGAGTTTTGCTAAGAAGTTTCAGTGTAGCTGAAGCTTCAGGTGGCGCAGAGTTGCAGCAATGGTTCCATATACTTAAGAGAATAAAAAGTTCCCCAAAAGGGGCAGTGGGCACTTTAAACTCTTGCAAGCCGGTTCTGTACATCAAGCAGAATTATTATTATATTATTATTCAAAGGGAGTTGTGTTTCCATCCTCCTCAGCAGACTATAATCACAATATATGGTCTGAGGGAGAGTAAAAAAAGAATGCAAGGGTTATTAATAGCAGGTCTAAAGTATTTAAACTAGCACTTTCATCAAATAGCTCAATACATTTTTATTTTTCATTTGATGCAAATCTGAAAATGTTCACAGAAAGTAGACAATATTACAAGCATAATTGCAACTACACTAACCTGGTAAATCACAATCACTTACTATTTTTTGTCCGTCCATGAATTCCTATGTTGACACCCATCAATTTTCCATATTGATATGATTCTACCAATACTTAGGATCAGCATTTTGTCTGGTAGTTGGACTGCTTCCAATTGGTTGAAGTTATGATGCTAATTGAGACCATGGTCCTGGGGTTTGATCTCCATGTGGACTAGTTAGCTTCGCTCTGTTCCAAGACCTGTACTTCTAGCCCCAACGGTATGCATTTGGACTTGGTGAAAAAATATTAATGAATCTGAATACATTTGCTACCATTACTAAAATGCAATTCAAAGCACACACTTCTTTCATGCTATCAGTAACTTTCCCTTTGAGGCTCAGCGTATTACACCTACTCTCTACATTAAAAAAGAAATCCTACTTCCTAACCCCACTTTAAAAGGGGGGAAAACATGGGTATTCTCAAATTATGCAAAATGTTTATGACAGGTCATGTGTTAAAAAATGAGCTCTGAACTCTCTCCTCACTGCTGGTAGGAATGCAAACTAGTACAACCACTATGAGTTTGAAAACTGGAAGTTTCTCAAACTGCTAAAAATGGAGCTTCCATATGACCCAGCAATCCCACTCCTAGGTATCTACCCAAAAGACTTTTACAGAAACATTGATTCAAAAAGACACCTGCACCCCATGTTTATTTTTTTGCTGCTTTATCTACAATCAGAAAGACATGGAATCAACCCAAATGCCCAAAGTAGATGACTGGATTAAAGAGATGGTACATCTATCTACACAATGGAATATTACTCAGCTATCAAAAAAGATAAACTCATGCCTTTTGCAGCAACATGGCTGGAGCTGGAAGGGACCATGCTTAATGAAAATCAGCCAGAAAGAAAAAGAAAATACTGGATTGTTACACTCACAGCAGGAGGATAAAGGACTAGAGGGAAAAAACAAACAACTATGTACCAGACATTTTACGGGGGTGAAGTGGGGAATGGGATAAAAAATGGGGTGGGAAGAAGTACATGGGACTATGGTGATGGCATACGGGTGATTTGGTGATGGAAAGCCCATGGGGATTACAACCGAGATGGGAAAAGGGACAAATTGATGTAAAAAAAAAAAAAAAAAAACTGGGTGAAAAAAGAGCTCTGAAAGTCTCCTTAACAAAAAATTTGCTTCTACTTTGTCAAAGAGAAATGGTCAACAGTGTCAAGTTCTACTATGCAGTCATCTCAGTTATTACATTTCTGAAATTCTGGTAGCATTCAAAAAGCAAGGAAATAGCAACATTATTTCTCTTTTAAATATCAAATGCATAATATTAGCAACCCAGTTTTCATAGTAACTAATCACCAAAAGAACTGCGCATGTTAATTTCTAGTAAACAAGAGCTTTTAGGGGTTTATTAAAAAGTCCACTAAGTAGTATTTCTCATCTCTTACTATAGTCATTCTATGGGTAAATCATACTAAGGGTAAGATTTTACAACACTAAATTATGTTCTACATGACATAAATGTTTCCAAATCAGAGAGAGGACACTGATTAAAACAAGATGGGTAGTAAAATCACCAAAATTCTACTGAATACTTTTTAAGGCAATGTTCTCAATCATTTTTTTTTTTCCTCATCACCAGTCTAGGCTGTTCCTTCCACTGAGTTCTTTTTAGACTTGGTTTCTCTAATCATCTTTCATATAATTTCAATACCAGTTATACAGTATACCATTGTTAGGGAGATCATGCTATAGCTCTACTGTATGCTTTTCATTTCCCCTGACAAACCTAACACTGTTTTTGGTGATCCTAAAATTGTATTAACACCATTCCTGCATAGTGATAGTACCAATAATAACATGGCAAAGGCCACTTGTTTCAAAGTCCTTAATTAAAAAAAAGTTTAAGTCATTTCCATCTAAAGTACTATAAGCAGGGGGGAAATTATATTTTACTTACAAAATGTATTCTATATCATATAAGAGAAACCCACAAAATCTAAATATTAAAATCAGTAAAAGCTCAACTGATTTAAGTTAAGGAAGCCAACTTGTTGCCAAAAATATTCTCCATAAACCACTAATTAGTGGATAATTCTTAGGCAGCTAAATGAACTATATTCACAAGTAATAAAACGGAGAAAAGAAGCTTCCCTGGTGATGCAAGGGGTTAAGTCGCAGCACTATAAATGGATCAGGAGCCACTAGAGCATGAGTTTGAAAGTTCGATCCCATACAGCCTAGCAGACCTCTCTTGTATTTCCCCCCAGTTGGCCTGCTGTTCCCCTCTGGCCTGCTGTTACCCTCAGCACTGCAATTCAGTCAACCTGCCTGTTCTGCTCCTGTCTGTCTCTGGTAAATCCTCTCATCCCTAGCACTTCTGGCCTACAACCCAGCTCTTGCATGCATGTATAAAGTAAATCTTAAAAAAAAAAAAAAAAAAAAACAACTCAGCAAAGTTCTAGCTCCCCTAAACACATCTACCCAAATTTCTGAATCGATTTCTACCTACCTCATATTTGACCATACCACATTTTAAAGAGGCTTCTCTATTGATCACCAACTTATCACGAATAAGGTCTTGATATGCCCAATAAACTGACTTTGAAAATTAGCCAGAGTAGATACATAGTAGACTAAAGCATAACTGCTCATAAAAATAAAAGCAAGTTGGGCCCTCCCTGGTGGCACAGCGGGTTAAAGCACTGCACTAAGAAGCTAAAGCCACTTCAGCAGGAGTTGGATCCCTCGCCCGGAGGTGATCCACTTGGGGTGGCAGACCTCTCCTGATCCGCCAGCTGTTCCCCTCAGCAATGTACTTCATCAGTTGGCCTGTTCTACTTCCCACTCTGTCTCTGGTGAATGAATCCTCTCGCCTTCCCTGCACCTCTGGCCTGTACCCCAGTTCTGTATACATAAATAAAATTTTAAAAAATAAATAAAAGGATAGATGTCTAATTTCTAAAGAAACTTTTCACCCAGTCACTACATATGTACGTTTTTAAGTTCAGTGATCAGATTACTAAATCATCACTGCCATCAGTGACCTACTACTGTACTGCCAGGCAGATGAATTACTAAATTCTCTATTAAGAGCTTTTGATCCCCAAACAATGCACACAGTATAAGTGTTCCCGAAATTCAAAAATTCCCTTCCCACTAACAGATAGTTATTACACATAAGGTATGGTACCTACAGTATACAACCTGTCAGAGACTATCTGAACTTTGTATTTCCCCCTCAAGAAATGTATTTTGAACTTAGTTTAAAATTTCATTTAGTTGTGGTCAAAAACAAAAAAAATCTACAATTACTGATGACTATTAAAGCAATAACTACTATATATGAGTACAAATCCCAGTTCAAGCTAAACTGATACACTACAGAGGTTACTCCAAATTCAAATAATGCAGAGGTTTGGAAGTAGCTCATATTCTACTTCCAGTGAAGCAAAGGTTCTCAACTTAAGTTATACCTAAGGACCTCAGATTTAAGACTCAAAGAGCCAGACAAGCTGAGTCCCTTGAACTGTCTCCCTTTTCCACCCTTACACTTCTTAAAATCCCAGGAAGAAAGCAATTCTGTAGTTTACCTTATTCTCATTCCCAAATTACATTTCTTCTCATCTAAGACAACTGACTTATCTCTCTTTTCTAAATAGGTTTGTACTAAAATACACACATGAAAAAGAAGTTTCACAGACCATTTAAATGGAATATACTCAGACTACATGAGAATTTCAAAGTATACAAATATACTGTATAACTACAGCTCACACAGGAGAACATTTTTTTAAATGTTAACAGTTTGGATGCCATAATAAGGCTGATAATTATAAACATTTTACTCAATCAACTACAATAAAAATAAGACTGTTTACTATAACAAGCAGTAGAAATAAGGTTACCAGCTGTTAACAGTGTAAATTACATCAACCAGCAATAATTTTGTAGTTGCTTCTTATTCTGATAAAATTTCAAGAAAACGTCAACGATAGTAACATTTTTCAAACAGGATAAACCTTGAAAATGACCAACTTTTGTTTCAAGGCCATATTTTGTACAGGCATCACCACAGTAGGTAGATTACAAAAGCCAATGATACGCAAAGTAATTACAAAAACAAACTTAATCCCCTGCTAATTTATTCAAAAGTATAAAGATTTTACAGGTAAAATTATATGTGAGATACAATGCTGTAAGTACAATTCAATAAACGCATTTAAGAACCACCTTATTCAGGGGACCACAAAATTTTTATCTCTCTTACCTCCTGTGCTCAGTCAGCACTCCTCACTGCACAGGGATAACAAAGTGTCACTCCACCCAGTTACATGAAAAAGAAATGCCCATCTTAAAGTACTTAAAAGCCTAAAAAATACTTCAGGGATACTGAATAAAGCTCAACTTCTAAATTGTTATCTAAACTCTTATTATGGGTTCCAAAAAAAAAAAAAAAAAGGCATTTCCTTGTAGACACCTACTCATCACCAGTCTAGGCTGTTCCTTCCACTGAGTTCTTTTTAGACTTGGTTTCTCTAATCATCTTTCATATAATTTCAATACCAGTTATACAGTATACCATTGTTAGGGAGATCATGCTATAGCTCTACTGTATGCTTTTCATTTCCCCTGACAAACCTAACACTGTTTTTGGTGATCCTAAAATTGTATTAACACCATTCCTGCATAGTGATAGTACCAATAATAACATGGCAAAGGCCACTTGTTTCAAAGTCCTTAATTAAAAAAAAGTTTAAGTCATTTCCATCTAAAGTACTATAAGCAGGGGGGAAATTATATTTTACTTACAAAATGTATTCTATATCATATAAGAGAAACCCACAAAATCTAAATATTAAAATCAGTAAAAGCTCAACTGATTTAAGTTAAGGAAGCCAACTTGTTGCCAAAAATATTCTCCATAAACCACTAATTAGTGGATAATTCTTAGGCAGCTAAATGAACTATATTCACAAGTAATAAAACGGAGAAAAGAAGCTTCCCTGGTGATGCAAGGGGTTAAGTCGCAGCACTATAAATGGATCAGGAGCCACTAGAGCATGAGTTTGAAAGTTCGATCCCATACAGCCTAGCAGACCTCTCTTGTATTTCCCCCCAGTTGGCCTGCTGTTCCCCTCTGGCCTGCTGTTACCCTCAGCACTGCAATTCAGTCAACCTGCCTGTTCTGCTCCTGTCTGTCTCTGGTAAATCCTCTCATCCCTAGCACTTCTGGCCTACAACCCAGCTCTTGCATGCATGTATAAAGTAAATCTTAAAAAAAAAAAAAAAAAAAAAACTCTCATTTTTTACTTTGTCAAACAAAGTGTTTGCT